GGAAGGATCGCTGAATCCTTTCATCTGAACAGCTGGCTATAAGGTAGGTAGTATCACATACCTGAGCTAACACTTTATACGGGCCCTGCCAAGATGCTTGCATCTTGTTTGTCTTCACAGGCTTGAGTACCAGAACCTTCTGTCCAACCTGGAAGACCCGCTGTCGGGCACCCCGATCGTACCACCGTTTCTGTCTCCCCTGGGCCGCCTGGAGATTCTCCCTGACCATCAGGGATAGTTTCTCCATGCGGTCCCGGAGTTCCAGGACATATGGTACTATGGGGGTCCCTTCTTGCTCTGTCTCCCCCTCCCAGTGTCCTCTAATGAGATCTAGGGGTCCACGGACCCTTCTCCCATAGAGTAACTCAAAGGGGGAGAACCCAGTAGATTCCTGGGGCACCTCTCTGTATGCAAATAGCAGATGAGGCAGGAATCGCTCCCAATCTCTGCAAGTGTCAGTAAAGGTCCTCAACATCTGTTTGAGGGTGCCATTAAATCGCTCGCAGAGACCGTTAGTCTGTGGGTGATACGGTGAGCTAAGCAGAGGTTTAATACCGCACACCTTCCACAGCTGCTGGGTAAGCACAGCGGTGAACTGGGTTCCCTGATCGGAGAGAATCTCCTGAGGGAACCCGACCCTAGTGAAGATTTTAACCAGGGCATCAGCAACCGTCTCTGCCTCTATATTAGACAGCGCTACTGCCTCTGGATAGCGTGTGGCATAGTCCACCACGGTGAGAATATACTTCTTACCTGATGGGCTAGCCCTGGCCAGTGGACCCACAATGTCAACGGCTATGCGGGAAAAGGGTTCTCCAATGATAGGCATCGACTGAAGCCTAGCTTTTGGGTGATCCCCCCGCTTACCTAGTCAGTGAGTGTGTTACTGTGTGTGTCTTACTGAGTGTGTGTCTGTTAGCTAGTGTGTATGCATCTGTAAGTGTGTGTGTGTGTCTTCAGCACTTACCTTTCTCCAGCGCCGGACTCCCTTGTGACCGCGCACGCATTCAAACAGCCCATAGGGAAGCATTACTCAATGCTTTCCTATGGACGTTCAGTGTGCTCCTCTAGCGGCTGTCAGTGAGACAGCCACTAGAGGCTGGATTAACCCTCAGTGAAACATAGCAGTTTCTCTGAAACGGCTATGTTTTCAGCTGCAGGGTTAAAACTAGAGGGACCAGACACCCAGACAACTTCATTGAGCTGATGTGATCTGGGTGTCTGTAGTGGTTCTTTAAAGGACCACTATAGTGCCAGGAAAACATACTCGTTTTCCTGGCATTATAGTGCCCTGAGGGTGCCCCCACCCTCAGGGTCCCCCTCCAGCCCGGCTCTGGAAGGGGGAAATGGGTAAAAACTTACCTTTTTCCAGCGCTGGGCGGGGAGCTCTTCCCCTCCGATCCTCCTCCGTTCCTCCCCGTGGAAGCTGTATGCTTGCAGCGGCAAGGCTAGCATGCGCATTCAGCCGTCACATAAGGAAAGCATTGTAATGCTTTTTCACAACAGACCCTTGGCATGCTCTCACTGTAAAATCACGGTAGAAACACGCAAAAGCGCCTCTGTGACTGTCCAGTAGAGAAAGGCAGCTAGAAATAGGTAAAGAGCTTAACCCATTCATAAACATAGCAGTTTCTCTGAAACTGCTATGTTTATGAAAAATATGGGTTAACCCTAGCTGGACCTGGCACCCAGACCACTTCATTAAGCTGAAGTGGTCTGGGTGCCTAGAGTGGTCCTATAAGTGTGTGTGCATCTGCATGCACTGGCGTACATACCGCGTTCGCAGGGGTCGCAGCCCTGTAACCCCTGCGACCAGGTGCCCACCGCCATGTGTTCCGGCCCGGCCCGCGCGCGGGGGGGGGGCCCACGGATCAATTCTCGCACCGGGGCCCCATGGGTCATGTGTACGCCACTGGTCAGTATGTATGTATGAGTGTATGTCTGTCTGTCAGTGTATGTCTGTTAGTGTGCCAGTATGTCCGTCTGTCTGTGTGTATATGTGCCAGTATGTCTGTGTGTGTGAGAGTCTGTCAGTGTCTGTGTGGTTCAGTATGTCTGTATGTCTGTCAGAGTATGTGTGTATGTCTGTGTGTGTGTGAGTCTGTCAGTGTCTGTGTGGTTCAGTATGTATGTTTCAGTATGGCTGTGTTGTATGTTAATGATCATGTCTTTATTGTTTACCTCTTGGAATTTATGTCTTTATTCAGTACTTGGCTGTCTTTTGTCCTTTTTTCTTTCGTTCATTTTGTATTTTGTACTTTTTTTATTTTCCTTATTTTTTATTTATTATTTTTATCTTATTTTTTTGTTTTTTACGTCTTACTTTTTAGATTTTATTTTTATTATTTTTAATTTTTTAATTTCATCATTTATGTTTATTTTTCTTTTTACTTTATCTTGTATTTTTTCTTTTTATTATGTTTTAGTATTTTGCTTTTCCTTTTTATTCTATGTATTATTTATTATTTAGTTTTTTTCTCACTTATTTTATTTTACTTTTTTCATTTACTTTTATTTCATTTTTTCCTACTCTCCTTTTTATTTATTTGTCATGTGCTTTTTTATTTATTCCTTGTGTAACAGATCACCTGGCACCCCAACTGGGTACCTCCGTTGATGGATGCTCCTAGCGCTTCTTGAGGGCTCCAAGCACTGTAGTAGACACCACAACCACCGCAGGCAGGACCTCTCTTCCTTCCGAGCGAAGCAGGAACAAGCTCTTAAAAGAGCTTAGGAGTGATTATAGCAAGGGAATATGCAGAGCATAGCAATCCCTTGTAGCAGATTCCCCCCAATAAGAGACAGGACTCCAAATTGAGGGTGAAGTAGAACTGTCTAAAACTTTATTTTTCTTGGGACTAGCCCATATGGTCATTACATTAACATTGCTGTGAAAACTCAATAAATTTACAAACAATCAAATCATAGCAGACAACATACAGTGACTTATTATTTATAAATGGGTGGGGAAGACCATAATTAACACAAAATGTCGCTCCTGCATGCAGAATTTGCAAATCTACCCGAATATGCAAATTACCAGTCTTGCTATTCAGGTAGTGCATATTACTGTTGCTACCAACAGAGGGCACTATACAAGCTCCATAGCCAAATCCACCTAGTTGGTAGCAATCCTCAGCAGTACAGGAGAGCAGGCAATACATCCCAGGGGCCATAGTCACATGGCAGGAGGCTGGCAATCAGTCTTCTCCAATGCCCAGTGGTGAGGCTGGTTCAGACACACCTTGTATTTCAATATGATCTCTTTTATTATTTTTTTTCTCTCTTTATTAGTTTTTTCTCTCTTTATCTCTTTATTTGTTTTTTTTTTAGTTTCCATTTAATTTTTCCTTTTTCTTTTTCTTTATGCCTCTTTGCTCTTTCTTCTCTTTGACTTTTCTGCTTCTGTAGAAGACCCATTGTTATTGCCTGTGTTTCGAAGATCACCAAATGTGGTGAGTGCTCGTTAACGTTAGGGTTTTTTTCTCACATATCTTGGCAATTGATTGCTACTAAGAACTTGCAGAATAATTGTAATTGGTTAACTCAAGACAAGGTGCTGCAGCAACTAAAGAAAATTAATGTAAACAAAGCTGATGGTATCAATCCACGTGTACTTAAAGAACTAAGTGTAGTAATAAGTGAACCTCTGTTTTTAATCTTTCAAGATTCTTTTCTTTCAGGAAGTGTTCCGGAGGATTGGAGGAAGGCAGATGTGGTTCCTATATTCAAAAAAGGTTTCAAAATCCTTGCCTGGAAATTATAGACCTGTGAGCTTAACTTCGGTGGCTGGGAAAATATTTGAAATGGTATTAAGGGATAATATTCAAGAATTCCTTGAAAAGAACATGGTTATCAGCAAAAATCAGCATGGTTTTATGAAGCACAGGTCATGTCAAAATAACTTGATTGCGTTCTACGAAGAAGTAGTAGCAGTATAGATCAGGGTGTTGCAGTGGATGTGATCTATTTTGATTTTGCCAAGGCATTTGATACAGTTCCACACAACAGATTAGTGTTCAAACTCAAGGAAATCGGTCTAAATGAAAATGCTTGTTCTTGGGTAGAACATTGGCTTAAAAATAGAGTACAAAGAGTTGTCGTTAATGGTAAATTTTCAAGCTGGACAGAGGTTGCAAGTGGTGATGGGCACACACATCAATCAAAAAATGATATGATAAGCTTGGTAAATGCCCATTGGATTGTTTCAGGTTTCACTGTAGCTGCAACAAAACACACACAAGGTTGCATGATCTGTGCAAGAAATAACATTGGACAGGTCACCAAGACCCCGTCTAAACATATGATAAGGCCACTTTACCTGTTTCAGAGATTGCAGATAGTCTATATTCAACTGCCTAAGACAAAAGTATATGAATATGTATTGGTGTGCATTGATCTCTTTTCAGGTTAGTCTGAAGCATACCCAGTATCAAAGGCCACAGCGAAGGTCACAACAAGTAAGATTCTGAAGGAATTGGTATGTAGATACGGGATGCCTGAAGTAATTGAAAGTGACAGTGGTAACCATTTTACTGGTGAAATTATGCAAGAGATTATGCAAGCCCTAGGAATTAGCTAAAGCCATGCAAGAAACAAGTAAACTGTGGACTGAATGTTTACTTCTAGCATTGTTTTCTATGAAATTTACGCCACATCCCAGAACAGGACTATCACCCTTTGAAATTCTGTTTGGATGTGCCCCTAAGACTGGTCATACTTCCTACAGGTACTGCAATTACGGCACAGTTATATGACCACCTATGTCCAGGCCCTACACCAGAGACTAGGTAGGGTAAATAAACAAGTGTTTGACTCTATTCCAGATCCAAAAAATAGTACTTCTACCCACAGGCTGTCACCAGGAGATTGGGTGGTGATAAAAGGACATGTAATAAAGAGTCTGGAACCTAGGTTTGATGGTGTAGCGTTACTTACCTTATCCAGGGGCCGGCCACGGTCCTCTCTTCGAGCCGCGCGCGGTCCTGCTGCTGCACGAACCGCGCGCGGCTCTTCCGACGGCTTCACTAGGAAGGCGGGCAGTGACCGCAAGAAGCGGTCACGTGTCCCGCCTGAATCTAAGAGCGCGCCGCGAGTCTCGGGCGCGCTCTTAAAGAGACAGTAGGAGCCTAAATTGGTAATAGGCTCCCATTGGCCCCTGTCATGCCACACTCCCCATACACTTACCTTTTGGGGGTGTGGATATGACAGGAGCCAATCACATTAGTTTAGAAGCTATTTAAACTTACCTCTCCCTTTACTCCCTGCCCTATCGTGGTTTCTGTTTCTGTTCCCTTTAGCGCTTGTGTTCAGTTGTGTTTTCTCCGTATTGACTTTGGCTTTGTTTCTGACTACGTTTTCTCTTTATCCTTATCTGTTCTGGTTGTCGGTTTCCTGTTTACTGTGCACCAGACCCCGGCTAGTCCTAGTTTTCGCTGTCTCTCTGTGTCCTTGACTTCGGATCGTTACTGACTCTGCCTCCTCTCATATACGTCGAATCCGGCCATTCTAAGGTCCGGTAGACGTATCTGTGTTGTCTTCTGTTTAGCTGAATCCTGCGTGTTGGGGTATATTCTCGTTACAGATGGTCCATTCCAGATCCTGCTGACCACATCCACATCTGTAAAGTTGGAAGGCAAACCCACCTGGATCCATACCAGCCACTGCAAACTGGTCTATGAACCAAAGCAAATATGAAGATAGCTTGTATATCATTTTAGTCACTATGATGTTTGGGTTGAGAAGTGCCATAACCCCAGGTCCTACACCCTAAAAGACCCTCTGCCAGTTAATTTGATCAGGCCCTCTGACACCAACCTCACTGGTTTTCTAAACTACACTACATGTAGCCTACAATACATCTATATGCTCCAGCACAAATTAATCTCATTGATCTTAAAACCAGCACTTTCTCAACCTTGTTAGTCACTTATTTAATAGCTTATGCCTGGATCAAATTAGACCCCGAATCCTAGGTGTGAAATCAAACAAGTTGCACATGCAAATTCACAGCTTATTATGTGAAGCAATATATGATGTGTAAATTTCTAGTACTACTGGTAATTTTTGGTTCAACCTTATATCCTGCCCAATATTGGACTACAAAATTTTAAGGTGACCTGAGAGACACTAAAAACATTACCTACCATGGCTAAAATTGCATACAGTCCTCACAAGGATAAATATATTGTCAATCCTCCAAGATAGGGAAGCCATGTAAGTTTCAACACTCCGCAAGTGTGTCTGACTGGATAGTTGCTCCAGGCCCATTAGATATGTAAATGGAAATTGCACCCTTGTATATTTGCCTTATAAGCCCTCAACCAGATATTGCATAAATGCTGAATGTTTCTACACCTTTTGTGGGATGCCTCAGGAACCTCACCATGCATAAGTAGTTCAACACAACCATCACCTTCATCCCAAATGCTGTACCATCACTTCCACTTGGCAACCCCAAGCTTTGGACTTGAGCACACTGTTTCCCTTCATCGTCTCATTAATTTAATTAATAACACCTGTAGGGGATCACCTGGCACCCCGACTGGGTACCTCCACCAAAGGATCACTTCCTAACTGGACCAGGGGACAAATCGCAGCACTTCTTGTCCTCAGTCGCCGTAGCTTGACTGGGGCCCTGGAACCACCACCTCCTTCCTGGATCCGAAGGGAAAATTAGCTCTGACACCTCCAGGCACTGGACGACACTCAGTCCTGGGAACTCTGGAACCGAATAGGGAATTAGCTCTAGTCTGTACAAGGACTTTCCCACGTTGAATCTCCTGCAAGCTGAAACAGCAGACACAGGAGCAAATATTCTTTCCCTCCAATAACTGGATGACACACAGTTTTGGAGTGTAAGCAGAAATCTCAGGTTTAATGGGACACACTAGCCTTTTATACAATTTTCCAGGCCAGAGGAACACCTCCTGGACCTGATGGGGCACAGGAACAGAAAGGACATAAACCAATCAGAACAAACATACCGTTTCTGACACGTCCATGTACAGCACACAATCCCTCCCCTCTGCTTAGGAGATAATTGAGCAAAGTCCTGTAAGTAACTCAATTATCTCCAGGCAGAAAAAAACACATTGTCACAAAGTTCAGAAAGTACCCCAAAATTCAGACTGACCTGCCCTGGGTAGATAAAGTATTTATGCCACCGCATGGCCTGGTATGACTCATCTAGCCACACCTCGGTCGCAACAAGCGTTTCCAGTTCGCTTACCCATTCCTCTGAGGGCTGGTTTCCCAATAACGGCATCCGCAGCTGTTCCGCTTGGCACTGGTTGGTGGTCAGGATTTCCTCACATCGGAAGGGTCGAATTTCATCGATGTCCTCCTTCCAGAGATCAGTTCGAAGTACCACCCTCCACTCTGTCTTTCTTTCCTCTGGGATAGGGTACTCCATACTATGCAGCACATCCTATAGTCGCTGCTGGAGCCTGGCGTCAAACTGGGATACTGCCGACGGTACGTGCCTTCCATTTGTGTAGTCAATAGACTCTGCTGAATTTAAGACACTATTGCAATAAAAATAAACACAAAAAGAATTCAGCGCTAGTAATCACAAAATTAGTCAAGGTAGGCAGCAACCCAAATGAAGGAAAACCCCTCGGGTCCTTCGGTGGATAGATACAAAAAGATATGGAAGGGCTGCGCCAAATAAGGGTAGATAGTCAGGTAAAGTATTGCTAGGGTGCCAATAGATGGTCTAGGATACTTGATAGAGTTCCTCTGTGGATGCGTCTGGTGTAGACCGTTCCGTATATGTAAATACAAGAGAGGTAGAGGCGACTAATGGTATAGTATGAAAGTTCAGGGTGTGATAGGTAACAAAAAGTAAAGAACTCACATTCAGGAGAGCTATGGCCAGCTCTGGTGTGGATTGCGTACAGCGGTATAATCCCCGCTTATGGGATATGTAGGGAGGGGTCTCCGTCAGCACCGTCTGGTAGTCCAGAGCTCGAAAAAGAAAGACAGAAAGCAACAATAGTGCTCTCAATTTTGATGTGGTTCAATGTGCAGATAAGAAGAGGTAAAAAACTCACATTTGAGGGAGCTATGGCCAGCTCTGGTGTGGATAGCGTACAGCGGTATAATCCCCGCTTATAGGATATGTAGCGGCGATACGTCCGTCAGCACCGTCTGGTGATCCAAGGCTCCAATATAGAAGAATAAAAAGCAGCAATAGTGCTCTCAATTGTGATAGGTTAAGAGAGTAGTAGAGAAAATAAAATAATACTCACAAAGATAGAGCAGAGGTACTGCTCTATGGATAGGCGCCGGTGGTATGATCCCCACCTAGGATTTCTTGGAGTACTGGAACTTTAAAATTGCCAATGGAAGTAAAAGTAACCAGGAAAGGTTAAAATGCTATTCCTGGCATTTTAACCTTTCCTGGTTACTTTTACTTCCATTGGCAATTTTAAAGTTCCAGTACTCCAAGAAATCCTATTGCTGCTTTTTATTCTTCTATATTGGAGCCTATATATATATTGGGGGTGTGGTCTGATCGTTTGATCATTTAATCGTCTGACCATCAATGTAGGTAGACGTTCAGGCAGAGAGCTCCCTTCACTGAAGCCACAGAAGCCTCTGAAAACAACCTGATCTGGACATCTAAGGTTTTTTTCTTTTAAAAAAAATTGAAAATCCAGCATACTATATTGTCTCTCTTATTTTTTTTTTGATCCCTTCAGCATTTAAAATTAATTTGAGCCGGTGAAGTTTTCAATTACCTGTCCAATGAGGAGCAGCTGCATGCACAGCCGGTCAGATAGCCGGCTAGACTGTTAGATAGCTGGTAATATACCTGCTCTACCTGCTATATCATATCAGTTTATATTCTCTATTTTATTCACCTCAATTACTCAATCTCTCCCCTAATCTTCCTCTACTCTGCGGGTGAATTATAGAGAAAGTACTGCTATACAGCTACGCATTGCACATTGCATATTACATATTGGTATATTGTTACATATTGTTACATACTGTTACATATTGGCATATATTGTTGTAACAGTGTAACAGGGCAGCGTTTTAGCAGATCTCTAACGAGGAGGAATTTTTTTTTTTTTTAAAGGGGAGGAAAAAAAGGGTATTATACCCCCTCCTGGGCTTGCTACTGATGAAATCTTTACGTAAGGGATCTAAGCCGAAGTCCAGGAGCAGCACTCTACATTCTATGCACTCCATGTTTCAGCCAGCGAAATCTGCGGATGTAAATGAAGACGCTGCAAAATCCACAAAACGAGCGGCTTCAGGAGCAGCGAATAGCACTGACATGGTGAATAATTGCCAGGATACAACAAACAGCCTGGAAGGCAGGACAAATGGGGATAGCCACGAGATCCAGTCAGATCATCTAGACCAGACCCATCCAGACCTGGGAGAGGGAGGATCAGGTAAAATGTTACCTATTGATACAGCTAACATTTCTATACCTATTATGCGGACATCAGGATTAGATGGCATACAATGTATATTGGCACAAATGAAAGAGGATAGAATTTTTTTAGCCGGAGAGATTGAGAGAAATGCTAAGGAAATAAGATTAGAGATCCAGGCAATTGGTAATCGGACTGCCGCCCTAGAAGTGAGGGTAGAGGCTGTGGCAAAAGCACATAATGATTTATTAATCCAGAGTTCGGAATGGGGCACAAGGCTTGACGCTTTAGAAGTGGCATTTGAGGATCTTATAAATCGATCCCGACGTAATAATATTAAAATTAGAGGGATACCGGAAACCAGAGATGAGGGTCCGGTACAGAATTTGGTTTTAGAAATCTTTAGACCCTTACTACCAGACATTCCTGAACCCAGATGGGAAATTGACAGGGCGCACCGTTTGTCAGGTGGTCTACGAAGGAATGATGAACGACCCCGAGATATAATCGTGAGATTTCATTACCATAGCACCAAAGACGCTGTAGTCCGTAAATGTAGGGGGATGGAGGTTATTTACAGAGAAAAGGTGCTTCAGATTTTTCAAGATCTTTCACCATCTACTCTTTTAAAGAGAAGGCAATGGAAGCCGATTGCAGATCATCTGAGACTTAATCACATTCCCTTTGCATGGGGCCATCCCTTTAAACTTCTCGCTTTTCATAATGAACAAACCAGAGCTTTATTACCAACGGGGGATCCAAGTAGATTTTTTCAGACAATGGGCCTGGATACACCAGAGGGAGTAATACCATTATTTCAACAAAAGACCCCATTACCAACTTTACCCAGAGAATGGTTTGATGCGAGAGAGAATCAAACTTAAAAGGACATAAATTTTCATTTATTTAGGTTAATCTATTTTTTTTTTTTATTTATTTATTTATTTTTTTTGGGGGGGGGAAGTGGGATATAATGTGATACTGATGGTGATTGTGAAGGGGAGAATAAGGAAGTGAAGGGATTAAGTTATTGCATATTGGTATATATGGAATAATATAGTAAGGCATATATGAGAAGAAATAAGCATATTATATAGGTGTATGTATTTTATAAATGATGCGTTTGATAAAAATAAAAAATAAAATCTCAATAGTAATTCAGCAGTAAAAATGTTGTATTATAGGATAATATGGAGTTTTTTGGTTTTTGAATGGTTTTGTATAGGGTCCGAGGACAGCTCATATGTGTTAAGGTGGCGTTTAGGGAAGTGTAAGAGGACCCATGTTATGTTAAGAAAAATCAGGTTGCTAGTATTAGTTTAAAAATCTAGGTTTCAGGTTGATGGGAGTAGTTGCAGTTTATCCCAAGGCCGAAGTAGACCTGGGAAAACTGTGCTCCCTAATTAACTCCTGGCATTGGGTGTTAATTGTGTATATATGTATATATGGTTGTGTTTGTTTTTTTTTTTGTTTGTTTTTGTTTTTTGTTTTTTGTTTTTTTTTGTTTTTTTGTTTTTTTTTCTTCTCTTCCTCCCCTCATTTTCATGTTTTGGTATACAATATGCTAATATGGTTCGTTTATTTTATTGGGTCAAAACATCTGCTTGTATTGGTGTTGAATTATGATGGATGAGAAGATAATTTCCTTAAATGTAAAAGGCCTTAATTCACCTGCTAAAAGGAAGATAATGTTTAAGGAATTAAAGAGAAAGCAGGCGGACATAGTTTTTTTGCAAGAAACTCATCTTAACAGATCTCATATATTATCCTTGACAGATAAATGGTATGATAGAGCGTATTGTTCGAATGCTATTCAAAAACATAATGGAGTAGCTATTTTGTTCCATAAAAGATGTCAGTTTAAGGTGTTAAATTCCATTCAGGATAAAGAAGGAAGATATATCTTAGTGTCTGGAATAATGGGCACCCGTAAGCTTCATTTAATGAATATATATGCCCCAAATATCCCAGATAATAGATTTTGGAATACGATAGGCCAAATTATTGATTCCATAGCGTTTGATTGTGTCTTGATAGGTGGGGACTGTAACGCGGTTTCTTGTCCAGCAATAGATAGAAGTCATAAGCCGGGAACATTGCGATCCCAGGGAAGGGGAGGACAAGATAAACAGTTTTTTCAGTTTATGATAACTCATAAACTTATTGATATATGGAGGGCTCAACATCCTGACACACTTGATTATACCTTTTATTCGCATCCACATGATACGTATTCTAGAATAGATATGTTTTTGACCAATTTAACACTTTCTCCCTATTTATATAGCTCACAAATTAACAATATTACGTGGTCAGATCATGCAGATATCATTGTACATATAAAAGGATTATCAGTTAAACCCAATTTTTCTTGGCGATTAAATACTTCTCTCTTGGAAGATCCCATAGTGAGATCAGATATTACAAAGGCATTGTTAAATTATTTTTCAGAAAATAATACGACTGAAATTAGCAAAACCACTTTATGGGCAGCACATAAAACTGTAATTAGGGGAGAATTGATCAAAATAGCCTCATATAAGAAAAAGATTAAATCACAATCATTATTTGAGTTACAGAAAGGTTTACGTAAGCTGGAACAAAAACATAAAACAGTTCCCACTGAACAAACGCTATATGATTTAAAAGCATGTAGATTAAAGATTAAAAAGCTTTTGTTAGATGAAGCAGTATGGCAGTTAAAAAAATCACGTAGATATTTTTATGAGAAAGCTAATAAAATAGACGCCCCTTTGGCCAGATGCTTAAAACCACGAACACATTTTAATCCTATCTCATCCATTAGAAACGCTTCAGGGTCATTAGTATCATCACCAGAGGATGTTTATGGAGTATTTCGGGAATATTTTTCTAGATTATATAGTCAATTTAAAAACGAGAATATAGAAGGTACAGATCAGGAGATAAGACTGAGAGAATTTTTGAATAAGATAAATTTACCCCAAATCCCTAAAAATGCTTTAGAAGGATTAGGGACCAAAATATCTTTAGAGGAAATTAAAGCGGCATGCTTTTCTATTAAGGGGGGTAAAGCACCAGGGCCAGATGGCTTTAGTAGTAGTTACTATAAAATATTTCAACACACTCTTATGCCATATTTACAAGAGGTCATAGATGAAATTTGTCAAAGCGGAGTTCTTCCAGCCGACCTTACAATGGCTAAAATTGTTCTTTTACCAAAAAAAGATAAGGACCCTTCTTCAGTGGGAAATTATAGGCCTATATCATTAATAAATGTTGATATAAAAATAATAGCTAAAGTCCTTGCCCTGAGATTCTCTCCCCTACTTCCTTTTCTGATTCATCCAGATCAGGTAGGTTTCGTTCCAGGTAGACAGCTGTATGAGAATACACGTAGAGCAGTTAATGTTGCTTGGGTTATGGCAATAGGGAAGACACCATCAATACTTTTATCATTAGATGCAGAAAAGGCATTTGATAGGGTCGCCTGGCCTTATCTATTTTATTTGCTTCAATATTGGGGCTTTCCAGTCAATTGCATTACTATAATCCGTGCATTATATTCAAATCCCCAAGCAACAATACAGCTCCCTGGCTCAGTTAATACTCCGTTTGGAATATACAATGGCACACGTCAAGGATGCCCTCTCTCTCCTATTTTGTTTGCACTTATATTGGAACCCCTTCTGATCCATATCAGGGGAAGTGGCAATATACAGGGTATTCAAATAGGGAGGGAGATTTATAAAACAGCGGCTTATGCTGATGATATTTTAATCTCTATAGCAAACCCTTCTGAATCTATCCCTGAATTGTTTAAGTTGATAGAACAATTTGGAGCCATTTCAGGCTATAAGGTAAATTATAATAAATCGTGTGGAGTGCCTTTTCATTTATCTGAGATAGAACAAGACCAGCTAAAAACTAAATTTGATATGAGTATAGATAAAACTCTAAGCTATTTGGGTGTTAAAATTGGATACGATTATAATACATTATTTAATGACAACTATGTTCCTTTGATTAAGACTTTGAAAAAGGACCTAGAGAATTGGC